AGAGATACTAAAAATTTGGGAGGATATGACACATGTGGATGACAACTTAATGCAGACTTTCAGGTCAAAGGGGAGCTTCCGGGCTGGGGTTGTAGCTCAGCGGTAGAGCGCTTGCTTCATATGCATGAGGCTCTGGGTTCAATCCTCAGCACCACATAAAAATAAATAAATAAAGACATTGTGTCCATTTACGACTAAAAACAATAAAAAAAAAAAGGGGAGCTTCCTCTGCTTTGCCTGGGGCCTCTCAACAGGCGGTATGTTTAATTCATATGCAATAATAAAGGTGTTTTTTTTAATGATTAATAAGCTACACATAGTTGTTTGGAAAATAGCAAACTTGCAACAAGTCAGAATACTGTTGTCAAGCCCTTATGCCCCCATGGATACCTAAAAACACAGATAGTACAAAACACTTTGAATACTGTTTTTTTTTTTTTTCCTATATATACATATGATAAGTTTAATTTGTAAATTAGACTGAGATTAACATAATAAAATAAGTACAATAATATACTCAATGTATTTGAAACCTTGGCATATTTCTTTCCTTATTAAGTCAAAAACTTTTATTTTTTCACTTAAAAGAAGCACTTCACGACTTCTCTTTGGCATATCTGAATTGTCATCATTGCTACTCTTGCACTTTGGGGCCATTAAGAAAATAGTTAGCTAGGTGTGGTGGCGCACACCTGTAATCCCAGTGGCTTGGGAGGCTGAGGCAGGAGAATGCTGAGTTCAGAGCCAGCCTTAGGAAAAGCGAGGTTTGTTAAGCAACTCAGTGAGACATTGTCTCTAAATAAAATACAAAATAGGACTGGGGATGTGCCTCAGTGATTGAGGGACTCTGAGTTCAATCCCTGGTACCCCCACTCCAAAAGAAAGAAAAAAGAAAAGTAAGGGTTACTTGAACACAAGCACTACCATACTATGACAGTCAAGGTAGCTACTAAGTACTAACAGGTGGATAATGTATATAGCATGTATACCCTGGATAAAGAGATGATTTGTGTCCCAAGTGGAAGGGAGAGAGTGTAGCAAATTTTCTTCATGCTAATCAGAATGGGCATAATTTAAAACTTATGAGTTATTTCTGGAATTTTCCATTTAATAGATTCAGATAGCAATTGATTCAAGGTAACTGAAACCTTGGGAAAAAAATGTGGATAAGGGGAGACTCAAAGACAAAGAGGTTCTTGTCTGGATGGTTTCCTTCTGAGTGTAGTGAAAAGAGGGGTCTGGGTTGTCCAAGATGACCCCGCCATGATCATGCTAACACCAAAAATGATGAAATGGAAGGTCTTCATATTTGACACCTGGAAAGTCAGTGTCAATTGAAATTAAACCCTGAATTTACTATGAAAAGAGAAGAGTATTATGTGAGCTGGAACATAGGGTAGCTGGTGTTCCCCCAGCTCCTTTAAGCTGTGAGGGTTGAATTAGTTATAAATGTTCTGTTTCTCTTTCACTGAATTTCGGTTGTGACACCTTAGGCAAAACCTCCCTCTCCAGAGCCTTGAGTTCTCATTCATGTTGTTTGTCTCTAGCTTTTCACATACAAAAGCTTTTTTTTTTTTTTTGTATAATAGCTATTCCAAAAAGGAACTGAGGCATCTTACAATCTTATTAGGGATATTTAAAGGGGTGGGAAAGACAGAAAAAGGTGGATTTAGTGGTACACACCCATAATCCTAGCTACTCTGGAGGTTGAAGCAGGAGGTTGAGGCTTGGTGAGACTGTGTCTCTTAATAAAAGATTTAGTGCTGGGGATGTAGCTCAGTTGTGGAGCACTTGTATTCAATCCCCAGTACCACAAAACATGAACAAAAGGATTATAAGGTACTTTGAACTCCTTAAAATCAGGAGGGCCTGAGAGATTTAAAAAAAAAAAAAAACAAACATGTTAGGAAAATAAATATATTTAAAATAAGACCATGAGGGTAGGACTTTGTGATCCTTTGACACACAACCTCTAGCTTCTCACTCAGCATAGATTTTGAAGAATATGACTTTGTTACTTCCTGTATGCATCTTAAACAATAAGATATTTTTAAGTTAAGGATAAAAAAGATGTGAATCTGGATTAATATATCTCTGAATCAAAAACAAACCCTAAGCCAGTAATACTTGTTAAGACTCCACTGCCTGGACTTCAAACTCGGGACTTGTGCTGCTCTCCTGTAAGATCTCTTCCAGAGATCTGACCTCTGTCCAAGTCAGCTTTTAAAGCAAAAAGCTTTGAACTCTTGGCACGTTGGCAGCTTGGACCTTGGGTGTTTACGAAGAACTTCCTCAAGATAGGAAGGGTGACTCCATTGTCACTTCCCCCACAGTGGCCTGCCTCTGTGTGATTTCCCCCTTAGAGAGTGGGCACCCAGCCGGGAGGGACCTCAGAACTTCAGGGAGTGAGTTGTGAACTGTCTGTGCCTGGTACATGACAGCTATTTAGCTCAATTAGGAGCTTAGGTTAATAAATACAAAGTGGTCCATGCAACAAACAGCCAGGGTTCTGGCTCTGCATCGTGTGGCCTGGCATTGGTGCTGGTTTGGGGCAGGCCAAAAGTTGTTTTTGCTGCTTACTTTCTTCATCTTGCCTACTGAGCGCCAATGATGTAATATTAACAGAAGTTGTACAACTATGCACCTCTGTATTTACCTATTTCATCACCAAGCTGTTGTCCGCTAGCTCTCTGAGCTGGGAAGTCACCCACCTACATTTTGCAGAGCATGTCCAGGGCTCTCTAACCCCCAGGATATCCTGGGGAATCTTCTGATATGGCAGCAGAGATATTTCTGGGCTCTTTAGTGCTATCTACAAAGAATATCTGGACTTCCAGTTATTTGCTTTTTATCCGACTGCAATTATGAAACTAAAGCCAATTCTGATCTCTTGTCTAGCTCTCTACCAACATCTATACTATTCTCCCCTCAACTTGCTATACTCCAATTACAGTCACACCTTTCTTTGGGGGTTTTCATTTTTTTTTTAATATTTATTTTTTAGTTCTCGGCGGCGGACACAACATCTTTGTTGGTATGTGGTGCTGAGGGTCGAACCCAGGCTGCACGCATGCCAGGCGAGTGCGCTACCGCTTGAGCCACATCCCCAGCCCAACTTTGGGGGTTTTCAAACATGCCACCATTTGTTCCCCTCTTTAGTGCTTTGCCCTGGATTTTCCTATCCTGGAATAGCCTGAGAGGCTCCTGGTTGCCTTCTTTCATTATGTAAGTCTTAGCTTAATCACCATCTCAGAGACCTGTTCACTTCACCAAAACAAAACAATAACAACAACAACAACAAATCTCTTGCCCAATAAATCTCCAGGATATTAACTGATTTCTTCCATAGCATTTACTGCAAACCTCAGTTTTCTTATTTATTTATTTGAATCTATGTTCTATATTCTCACTGCAATACAAGCTCTGAGAAATCCCTGCTTCAGATGCACGATTGTACTAACAGGTCACATATTTTTTCCTACCCTGAGAAAGGGCAAAAGCAGATTACTGTAATAATCTGGCTGCTAGGATTTCTTCAATGTTGGATCAGCTCTTTGCTTTAGACAGAGGGATTAGGTGGAATTTTTCTGGTGAAACCTTGGAGCATATAAAACCAATGTACTCTAATTAATACAGGTGAGTACAATTAATTAGAGCACAAGGTACTCTAATTAATCCAATATGTAGATATTGATCCAAAAAATAAGCCAAGATCAAAGCGGCTTTCTTTGCTACAAGGCTGGACAAAAGGAGAGATGACAGAAGAACCAACCCCATTCTTTACTGATAGCATCACAAGTTGCTGATCTTCTTCAACAGGAAAAGGAGTGCGGAGTTTTCAAACTAGCTCCAACAAGCAGAAACCAATCACAGCCAGGGCTTGGTACAAACCCAGAGAAGCAGCATTTATTATTATAAGGCTTATTTACTCAGATCCCTGGCATGGGCAAGGAGAAATCATTTCTTGTTCTATAGTATTCTGAAGCTGACTTGATGCTACCTCCACACAAAATTTTATTTCAACATGCTGACAACTACACATTAGGAGATACAGGTCCTAATTTATAGACACCCTGGCATCTCTGTAGAATTGAATGGATGTAGCAGGTGTAGTTGATACATCTGCACTCTCAGCTACTTGGGAGGCTGAGGCAGAAGGATCACAAGTTCAAGCCCAGCCTGGGCAACTTAGCAGGAGCCTGTCTCAAAATTAAAAAAAAAAAAAAAAAAGGGGGGGGGGGCGGGGAGGGATGTAGCTCAGTGATAGAATGCCCTTGCATTCAATCCCCAGTACCTCCACCCCCAAAAATTGAATGGATGTAGTTCAGAATCTGATAATTTGATTAAAAAAGTATACTTTCTTTTAAGGGACTAATGATATAGAAAGTTAGATTTTAAAATACTCTCAATTATCAGATGATATTAAGAAATAGTTATTTTTTTAGATGCAACAGTTCTTTTTTAATATTGTGGTTATATACACTTTATAAATAAGAGTCCTTATCTTTGAAACAAATATACCAAAATATTCACAGATAAAATAAGTATATCTGTAAATGAGATTTGTTTCAAAAGAATACCAAGACAGCTATTTGGGAGCCTGAGGCAGGAGGATCACAACTTCAAAGCCAGCCTATGCAACTTAGCAAACTCCTGTCTCAAAATAAAATTTAAAGAGGGGCTGGGTATATAGCTTAGTAGTAGCTCTCTTGCCTACCATGTGTGAGGCCCTGTGTTCCATCACCAGAACCACGAAATAATAATGGTAATAATAGTGATAATAATAATAATAATAATACCACCACCACCAACAGAGGAGAGAAAATAGGTGGAAACAGACAAAACAGGACTAGTTATGTGTTTCTAACTGCTGAAGCAGGGTGAGGGCTCCATGGGAGTTAGTTATTTTCTTAACGCAGTATCTGTTTGGCATTTTCCCTAATAAAATAACTTTTAAAAAGTTGTTTATTAATTTTTACCCATGAAATTAGAGACGTTACCTGAAGGTGAATTTTTCACTTTTCCAGTCGTGCAGCAGATTTTCCTGGATGGCATCCTGGGTCAGGGGCGAGCTCTGCCGTGGGGATTTGGAGTGGGGAAGGGTGCCCATGAGACTGATGCTGTCACAGGATCTGAGGGGAGGAGGGCCCTTTTTCTTCCGTGGAAGGGTGCCGTGTATAGACACGTCTTGATAGGCATCAGTGCGATGCTCAGCGAGAGGGGACTTGCTGCTCAGAAGGTCCATGGAGGAGGCGAGGGGGAACTGGTGATTCACTGGCATGTTTCTGGGAAGGCTTGCAAATTTTCCTGCAGCCATGATTCTCAACCCTAAGAAGGAAAGAGAGTAAAGAATAAAGCTGATTTATTCACAAGGGCTGACTTCCTATTTGCATTATGCCACATAACCAAAGAAAATTCTCAAGAGTGTTAAAAGACAAACCACATTTAATGGCACTACTGGTGGAGCCTAATAAAAAGGGATGCTTACACTCATTCCCTCCTTTAGGATCCTACAGAGAAATTCACCTAGATTCACAACAAAAGCAAAAGGGAAAAACACATCTCAGAATTGTTAAAGGTCCATGAGCCATTTTATTATTTCAGATGACTGGGGCAGATGGAAAAGCACAACTAATCAAAAAAGGCTATTAGGAAATGGTTTCAGTAATAAACACATCAGAGAAATGTTATAAATTGTTAGATAATTGGTTCACATATGTCCACCTCCCTGTAATGATAAGAACAGGCGGAGATTATTGGAATTCTTTAGCTGCTAGAATGTCTTTAGTGCCAGAAGAACCCCTCTGTTGAGCTACCCAGGGCAGAGTTTTTTTTTCTGGCAAGACCTGATGCTTATAAATAAATCAATGTACTCTAATTAATGAAGACAGGCCAGGGTCAGGGGTGAAGAGGTGGGCCGCTCTTCCATATATCAGTGGGCTCAGCTGTGGTGGAAAGCCACTTCGATGGTGGCTGCATGCACACTGTCCCCCCTCAGGGGTCAGGAACCTGTCTGCCACCAGCAGGGTTAAGCAATGCCCATGGGTACCTGCAAACTCAGGGAAGAACAAAGAGGGAAGGGGCAGAAGGAAATAAAAATGGGAGTGGGACATATGGAGCATGGAAAGAAAAAGTGACACATAGGTTGCAGTTGTTCCAACAATCATTCCCAGCTGCGGCCACTTGTAGAAACATTCACCTTGAGCAGAATCCATGTTCCTAATCCCCCTTCAAACAAACTATGGTTTTGACCTGAGCCAAATCATATAAGACAATTTAAGGCCAACATACAGAGGAAAATAAAGAGGAGCCTCAATAAAAACAGGGCTGTCCTCTGGAGATAGAAGGCTCCAGAGGCTGTCTTGCACTAGTTATGAGACTCTGGTCTGCAAACCACACACAGCAGGGCAGCTGAGCTAATGTGCTGCCTGCACCCATGGCTGGTGAGAACAACCCTTTGCAAAAAAAGAGGAGGAGGAGGAAGAGGAGGAGAACAAGAAGAAGAGGAGGAAGAAGAAGAGGAAGAAGGAGGAGGAGGAAAAACCACACATGATCCACTGCTTCTGCATGAAACAGAGAGAAATTCACAAGTGCTAGGGCTGGGTAGAAGGACTCTTTAGTTAAGGAATATAATCCTAATCCTATCCATTTTTTGCCACATCTAATATTTCTGAAGCTTGTCTGTTCCATGTTCAACTGGGACCACACAGAAGGCCTGGCTCACAGTGAGCACAGAACAATAGGGAGGAGTGTCATGAGGGCCCCTCCCAGCTCTGGCTAGTACCTGGCACACTGTCAGCATTTGCTTAATGTTAATCATTGTTATTAAAAAAAGAAACCAAATTTCCCAGCCCCTGACCACCAGCGATGTAAACCAACTAGGATTCCCCCCACACAGCCATGAACTCTTGACTGCTCAAGTTATCAGCATCTTCCTATTTCATGGGTCTGGATCATTTCAAAGAACCTGGGGAAGATGTCAGTAGCACCCTACAAAACCTCTTTATGTGCAAAGGGCCATGCTGTCGATTAGGTCTATTTCTAAGACAGTATAGAGGGCAAAAGTTATCCCGGCCCCAGAGCCTCTGAGAGCAGCCTGTTTCCTCTCTGCACAATCAAAACTGATCTAGATTTCAAGATGGAGCTAAAATGCTCTAAAATGCCCTTCTGCAAGTTACTTACACCTTAAACTTATTCTCTGATGACAAAGGTTGTTAATACCCTCCTTTCCTACCTTTAATTCAAAAAACATTTAAGTACCTATTCCATATAAGACACTCAAAGAAACAAAGACGCCTCAGTTCCAACCCTATGACTATGAACTTCTATGAGAAGACAGAACTCATAAACAGCAACCCTAGATAACTAGAAGGGTTAACAACAAATAATTTTCACAAAAAGACTCCAGGAGGATCTCAGAGAGGGCAACCATAGAGACTAAGCATTTTGAAAGGTTGATATTTGTAGGGAAGGCTTGGAAAGTGACCCCACAGGCCCAGCACACTGCAAGTCATGTGGTGTGGCTTGAGTTGAGAAGTGAAGCAGCATTTCTTGGAAGATAGATAGCTGAGGAGAAGACCATGAAGTCTGGAAGGTTCTGCTAAAGTGTCTGGACTTGACTAAGTCTTAGGGAAGACCTAGAAGGATCAGATTCTAGTCTGTACCCAAGTAAGTAACCGGTAATTTTAGTGGGAAGAGGTAAGAGTTCCAGGGAGGCTGCTCCTGCGAATGGCAGTAACCCATAGAGGACTGATGAAGAACTCTGACCTGGGGTAGTGACCTGCGAAAGGGAAAGGAAGGACACAGTAAAGAGATATCAGGAGCATGAAGCTTCTGGCTAGGAGGAAGCGGGCCACAATCATAGGAAAAGGTACAACATGCCAACTAGTTTTAGAAGGGGACTCCTGCAGGAGGACGATATGCAGCTCACTACTGGAACTGTTGTGTGTCAAGTGCCAGGGGATGGTTCAGTGTAGAGGAGGCTAAATACTGGTATGTGCAGTTAGAAGAGAGGGCAGAGGCAGATTTTTAAGAATTATCAACAGAAAGGGAAATAACAAGAAATTAGATCCTTGATCTTATCATTATCAGCTGTGATAACAGACATGAAAGTACCTCTTAAACTATCAGGAACCATACAATATCCATGAATTACATCCTCTCTCTCTCTCTCACCATGGCTGTTTCGAGCCTTTTAAGACCACAGCATGGAATGAGTTCTGAAAACAAAATGGTAGTTCTCAACCTGGCTGTGCATAAGAATCCTGGGGGAAACTTAAAATCTCAACACCCAAGCCACACCCCAGAGCGGATTTCATTAAATCAGAATCTCTGTGGGTAGGATGCTTCAGTCTTTTTAAAGCTCCTTGGTATTGTCCAGTGTAGAGTCAGGATGGAGAACCACTTGATCCGGGAGTCTCTTTGGTACAGAGCAACTTACACTCAGAATCATCTTCCTGGGTAACAGAATCAAAAGAATCAACAGAAGAACCATTCATTCGACATACATGTTTATGGAGGGCCTCCTATGCAACTCACTCTGCTAGGTGTTGGGGACAGTGTCAAAACAGATAGATATAGTCCATCTTCACCAAGTCAATACTATACAGAGGAAGCAGACAATACATAATGGCCATAAATGTTGGTAGTTCTCAGTTCATTTTTCCAGATAAGGGAAATAAATATTTATTGGACATATTTTCTCTGAGGCTTCACAGTATACCATGGCTGAGGATATATTAGATAGCATCCTGCTCTGGGGTAGCCTGTATCGTGATGGGGGAGTACAAACAAAACAGATAAGAAAAGTAAACCAATATTTAAAATATTTTTTTTAAAAAAGTAATATCCAAGTTATAAGCGCTCTAAAGAATATATAACAAGATGACATGATAGAAGACAATGGTTAGGGTGAAGGGTTACTTTACATTAGAGTGATCTGGGAAGGACTTTCTGAAGAGTAACAATAATATGAGACCTGAAAAAAAGAGAAGAAACCTGTCATGAAAAGAAGTTCCAGGTAGCCAGCAAATACACAGGCCTTGAGATAGGAAGAAACAGCTAGAACAATATGATAGAGGCTCCAGGCTATGGCTTCCATGTTTTCTCTCCTTAGAGATGTTTCTGTCTTGCTGTCCTTAGTCACTATCTACTTCCTATGTACTATTTGACCTTTAAAAGTTAAAGTGGTATGAGTTAGAATCTAGGTTTTGGAGCTGGATATTTACAGGTTCAAGCCTCTACTCTGCCTCCATCTTACTAGCTATATGGCCTGGGACAAATCATTCAAAGTGTCTGACACTTTCTCATTTGTAAAATGAGTTAATAATACCTATCTCATGGGATTGTTGTGAAAATTACATGTGATCATGCACGTGAAGCCCTTGACAAGCACTCAATAAATAGCAGGTCTTGGGGGCTGAGGCTGTAGCTCAGTGGTAAAGCGCTTGCCTTGCATGCGTGAGGCACTGAGTTTGATCCCCAGCACCACATAAAAATAAATAAAGATACTGTGTGTTCATCTACAACTAAAAAAAATACATAAAAAATATTTTTAAAAAATAAATAGCAGGTGTCCTTTGGGCCAGGGCAGAGCCATTTCTGTTTTGCTAGTTCACTGTACCCCTACTGTGGTGGACATTTGCAAATGAATCCCCGAAGCTGAGAAGGGTAAGCAGGGAGATGCTTAAACCTAGAACAACAAATATAAACACACCAAGGCGTGAACATGGACACCCAAAAAGGCACACCAAGTAAGTCATATCCAGGCTTTGAAAGAAGCCTGGGACAGACTTTGGCCTTCTGACTTGACCTCTTTCTACTGGGCACATAAACACACACAGTGTCCCCACTCAGTTCAGTGTGCATCTTGAATATATTTGAAATATTCAAAGGTCAAAGACTCTGATATGAAAGTATTAGTTAAGGACAAGGGTAGACTGACAAACACTAAAGCACATTCTGCCTTCCTGGCCTTAGTCAGCGGATCTGCTCTGAAATGCTTAACAGGCCCCAACTCACTTGCTTTATAATGATGTCTCAAAGAAACCCATGATCTTGCAGAGATAAGCAGCCCACTTGTTTGGGTTTTTGTCTCAATTCTGAATTGGCTATTTTCAAGTTAAATTCATAGATAGTTACCTGATGGGGACCTTAAGGACTTTCTATCATATTTTAAACTGTGGAAAAGTCACCACCTCAGCTGCCCCACTATGACTATGACAGAGAATTCATAATTGGATCTGTAGTTTTAAAATTCTTTTCTGCAGATTCAAACAAGGAGAGGGGGTAGAACAACCCCACAAATAAAATTGGCTTATCCACTTAGAATGAAATTTGCTTGGATTTAGGAATTAAGAGTATCCTTTATATTTGAAGTAAACTTATTAAGTCTAACCAAATGATTAAAATATGAATATTTCTTCCATGGATTGTATTTCAAATAACACAGCACAGGATTTACATGATAAGGTCCTTAAGATTTGCACCCATTTGACAAGCAGTTCTTTCTATATATATGAATAGAAGATTGAGATCTCTGTTAGTCACCCTGGAAATGTGAGGTTACCGAGCAGCAGTTTAGAGAAAATTGGAGTTGGGCGGTGAGCGAGCGCTTGGCAGGGCAAGGTTTTTACGTAGGGCCCCTGGCACAGCCGAGCAAAACCGCTTTGCCCCGTAGGTGTTCCTTTGAGTAACTGGGCAGCCTCTTCGCACTTGGGCCCGGAGATCTGCCCCGCCCCGCCCCGCCCCCAGCATCTAAGTCTTCCCCTTCCACTTAGATCTCTTCTCAGTCCCTGGCAACTCCCAGGGAGATTAAATTGACCTTCCCCCCACCGATGTATTTTCCGTGTGGAGGTCGGTGTAGCCTTGGAAGATAAGAGTCAATGTTTAAAAGAATCTCTGAAGGCACAGTTCTACTTTCCATTTCAGCTAATGGCTTTAAGCAAATGCACACAAGGGGTTGGACAAACGGGTTTTCCCCCTGCACCTTGCTTCAAGCAAATTAACACCAAATCAGGAGTTTTTCCGCCCGCCTCCAATCCCCAATCACCAAGGTCCCGCAGAACACGCGTCTCGCCAGCAGCTTTGGCGCCCTCTCCACTGCCTCCGACCAAGGTCTACAGCTGATCGATTGTTTTTGAGAGGTAGCAGCTTAGGTGGGTAATGAAAGATGGGCTGCGATGGGAAGCTCTCTCAAGTGCTCATCGTCCCCCTTCCCTGTGCCTTCCCCTCCCCAACGCGGAGGGCGCGACACAACCAACTATTCATTCTTTCTCAACAAAGAGAGAGGGAGGGAGATGTTGTCAGTTACAGTGCAGGCTCCTCAGCTTCCTTTGCAAACTTTCCAAGAGATTAGTGGGGAAACTTGCCTCCTCCAAACCTTGGACTTCCCGCGGAGCTCTCTGGGCCCTCGCACCTCCCTCACCCCAGCCGGCCTTGGGCAGAGCGGGAGAGGGTCCGGCAAGGCCAGCTCCGGGGAAGAAGCGGCACAGAAGCAAAGGAGCAGAGATGCTCGGCGCACTTGGCCGAGCTCTTCCCGCCGCGGGCTACAGCAGCAGCGTGTCGGGAGCTCAGCGCGTTCGGAGGTCCCGGATCCCCACTTCAGCCACCCCCTACCCCCAACGCCAACTCTGCTGGGGAAAAACAACAAGCTCCGGCTCCACTTTTTCCAAAGTCCAACTTTCCCCAACAAACTTCCTAGCTCGTTCTCTTTGGGGCCAGGGGAAGCCCAGGAGCTCCGCGAAGATCTGCACCCCTGAGGGCTCTGGGGGCATCGCGCAGACTCACCTCCGGGCTCTAGGGCTGGGGCTCAGAGGGGCTGCGCAGCCGACCCCGCACCGCGGTTACTCCCGGAGCAGGGGCCGCTCATGGTCTGCGCCGCGCGCCGGCCGAGTAGCCTGGGCGCCGCTCGCGGGTGCCTATGGCAGTAGCTCCGACCGCGGCAACAGCAGGCACCGCTCTGAGTGTGCAGCGCACTCTGGCCCTCAACTGGTGATTTGCGGCTTCGCGGCCACACCCCGGCGAGCCGATTTGCGCGGCCTTGTGGAACCCTGGGGGACATTTACATTTGGAGATCTAGCCTGGCCCTCCTTCTGCCCGGATTTTAAAGTTTGACTTCCAATCTCCTGGACAAGCCAGTCCCCAAGCGTAGACCGACTGCTTCCTTACTGAATCCTTCTGAAGAGGACAACCTCATCTAATTTCCTCCTCCCCCTTCCCGAATAATTTAATTACCCAGAAGATCTCCTTCGCTTGTCTGCAAACACCTGGCTGGCTTTCAATTAAAGGGCTTTGATAGGACAAAGAACAAGGAAACCACAATGAACAAGCTACGGGAACAGGCAATCAATCACACTTGCATGGACATATTGAAAGCAAAGTAGAAGGTGAAGGCAGTACTTCAGTATTAGCTGTTTTAGGGGATGAAAAATTGGAACCCACTGAATGACTCATACTGTTTGATATCAAGACCTATTCTAAAACCATAGAAACAGTGCAAGGATAGAAAAAAGGACCACAGGCCAGGTCCAGAAACAGATCTACACTCTCCATGGTCATTTAGATTTATGTTTGAGGTGTTGCTTTGGTACATTTGGGAACAGTACAGTCTGTATTTCCGGTAAATGATGCTGGGTCAAATGAATGTTCAGATATGGGGCATGAATTTTGATGCCTACCTCACACCGAATGTCCCCAAATCAATTTCAGGTGGCTTTTATATCTAAGTGCAAAAGGTAAAATGTAACACTTTCATACACACACACACACACACACACACACACACACACGATTGATCCCAGGGGTGCTTAACCACTGAATCACATCCTCAGCCCCCCCCCCCTTTAATGCTTCTCTAAAGCTTTATTTCAAAGTTATTCACTTTACCATTAATAAGGTATATGGTAATGCTCTTGTGCCAGTGGCCAGTGTTATCAGGCTTGTCCATTGCCGGCAATGGACTTTGAGAAAACCCATTTCTTGGCAATCAAACATTAAATTACTCTTTTTGACATACTGAACTCCCAATTCTTGGAAAAGTATTACATGCACCATTTCCCCACATTCTTTAAATCTGAGCTTACATCATTAATCTACATCAGTGGATGTTAAAATGAAGTCATTTTAACAAATTATGACTGTACAAATCAAAATACCACTAGTTAATATTAGACAAGAGTATCTTACAAACAATATATTACATATTAGCTTGCAATCTGAAACATTACATTTCATATTTGTTTATTTTTGATAACTGAAACTTCACAGAATTTAATGGTAAATAAAGTTTAGTTCTGTACATTAGTACTATCTCTATTTTACAATCTATAAGGCTCATGTCATAGTTCAGCACCAAAAAGTCTATAAAACTTTCTAACCAATCTCTTTCATTCCATGTGACAGTTTTTTTTTTAATAGGTGAATGTCTGAGAAAAAGCTTTATAAACCCTACTTCCAGACCTTGAAGTGGAATACTCTTTTTGGCTAGTCAGACTATGTAAAAACTTAGGTTGTACTTTCTGATTTTCTTTTTCTCTTTTTTTAATTTTTTAGTTGTAGATGGACACAATATCTCTATTTTTATTTATTTATTTTTATGTGGTGCAGGCAAGGGCTGTACCACTGAGCTACAACCCCAGCCCACCTTCTTATTTTCATTGAACAGCTACAAAAACAAAAGACCCACACAAACACACATACACACAAAACAAAAAGAACTCATACCACCAATTTGTCAGTCTAGAAATTGAATTTGTAACACTGAAGCATAAGTAGTCTAACAATGCCCTGCTCCATCCTTCCTTTCCAGTTTAAAAATTTAAAAAGGCATCAAAGAAATGTTTTACATATCCTTTAAAATAAGGTGCAAAGAAGGATTGCAAAACATACACACCTCCAATGACATCTCAATGTTGTTGAGCACAGTCCACCATGAATTGATCAGGAGCACTCAGCTCCTAGAGCTATCGTGATAGCTCCCAAATGGACCATGCTTTTATGCCCTAAGCCTGCTCAATGCTAGTGTCTCTCTGTTCAGAGATCATCACAATAACTTTGTCACTGTTGGCCTGGATAATATTCCAGAACCAGTGTTACTGTCCTAACTCTTTTCTGCCTCTCTAGGATTTATAAATCTGAGAAAAAGAATGTTTGTCTTTGCCATTTTCAAGGAGTATTTGTGCATATCACATTTTAAGACCACATTTCCCAAGCTAGAAAAAATTTTCAAAAACCACAACTTTCAATAATCTTGTTGTTTCAAAGTATAAAATTCTTACACATTAAAAACTCAGCCCTTTTTTGTATTTTATTTAGAGACAGGGTTTCACTGAGTTGCTTAGGGCCTCTCTAAATTTCTGAGGCTGGCTTTGGACTCCAGATCTACCTGGCTCAGCCTCCCAAGCCACTGGGATTACAAGCTTGTGTTACCACACCTGGCAACAGTAACATCATCAAAGAAAATATACAAAAATATCTTTGTGACCTTGGGGTAGATTAAAACTTATTAAACATAAATAACACTACTATAAATGAAAAAACTGCCCATTGGACAAAATCAAGAACTCTTATTCATGAAAGACATAATTTATGAAAAGGCGAACCGCAAAGCGAGAAAATATAATTGTAACACACACACCCCAAAAATAACTTGTACACAATGTATAAAGAACACCCACAATTAGCAAGAATAAGGCAAAAAAAAATCCAATGTAAAATAGGAAAAATATTTCAATAGGTATTTCTCAAGATAGGATGAGCAGGTATTTCTCAAAAAAAAAAAAAATAAAAATAAAAACAATAAGCATATGAAAAGATTCTCAATTTATTAATCATCCCAGAAATGCAAGTTAAAATTGCAATTTTACCTCATTTCACACCCACTACCAGAATAGTTAAAATTAAAGGGTATTATGGTTAAGATCTGGTGTCCCCTGAAAGTTCACATGTGAGACAATGCAATAAGGTTGGAGGAGAAATGATTGGGTTATAGCCTTAGCCTAATCAGTGAGTTAATGATGGGGTTGATAAAGTGGTAGGCTGTGGCTGGAGGAAGTGGGAATTGGGGCGTGGTTTTGGTGTATATATTTGTATCTGGAGAGTGGAGTCTCTCTCTCTGCTTCTTGATCACCATGATGTGAGCTGCTTTCCTCTGCCATCTTCTCCCGCCATGATGTTCAGCCTCACCTAGAACCTGAAGGAATGGAGCCGGCCTTCTCTGGACTAAGACCTCTGAAACCATGAGCCCTTAAATAAACTTTTCCTTTCCTACAGTTGTGCTGGTCAGATCCTTAGTCACATAAATGAAAAAGCTGACTAAAACAAAGGGTTTGACAATATTTCTGTTCAAAGTAAACTTTTTCCCACTTACCATACTAGGGATTAAACCTAGGACCTTGCACATGGTAGTCGGATGCTCTACCACTGAGCTACATCCCTAGCCCAAAGTGAAATTCTTATGACTACCTTAGAAACCCACTTAACAGCAACTACTAAAGTTAACTCATATCCTGTGATCCAGCAATTCCACCCCTAGTTTTTTTTTTAATTTTTTTTAGATGTTGATGGACCTTTATTTATTCATTTATTTATATGTGGCGCTGAGAATTGAACCCAGGGCCTCACATATGCTAGGCAAGTGCTCTACCACTGAGCCACAACTCCAGCCCATACACCCTTACTTTTATACATAGTTACACATGGACACATTCACCAAAAGATGTCCAAATTGTTTATAGCATCTCTCTTTATAAATAGCCAAAGAAAAGACAAACCAAATGTCCATCAACAGAAGATAGACAAAATGTGTGGATTATTACACAGTAAAATAAGAATTAATGAGCTAATTCTATACTCAAAAAGACAGCGAATCTCTAAAATATGATAATGAGTCAAAGAAGGTGGACACAAATGGGTACACACCAAATAACTCCATTTATGTAAACTTCAAAAACAGTCAAAATATATTCAATATTAGAAGTGAATATGGAGGTTATCTTGAAAGGTGGTACTAATGGAAAGGGAGGGGCTTCTGGGTGCTGGTAATATTCTATCTTAATATCTTTATCTGGGTGCTAGTTACATGAGTGTCACCCACTTATAATAATTTACTATCCCTCAGATTATAAAATTTAATTGATTTGTGCTTGATTCGGCATGTATGTTTTACACCAATAAAAACATTTTAAAATTATACCATTTGGGGTCTATTTGATATCATTTTCATCCCTTTAAGAAAGAGTTGTTAGAGTGTCTACAAGATTCCAAGTGCAGCATCCTTAAGAATGAGTGCCTACATTTTCCTCATGAGTAACTCTGAGGGTTAATCTTTATCCTCCCCATATTATTAGAAACATAAATCTTTGATTTTTATTGGATTTTCAAAAAGTGTCCAATGCATTGAATGTCACTTAGACTAGTTGGTATGTTTCTAGTCTAAGGATTGAAGGATTGAAGGATCACGGGTGCACTCTTTGGACACATGCAAGATGGCTAGCTGTAGACTTTGAGCAGATGTAACCCCAGAATGACTTGAAAGCAGGTTGTTTTTCAACCTCCTAAGGAGAGAAATTAGTGGCAGGTGGACAGTCTGCATGAGGAGGTTTGAGATGCATTCACCTGAATGAGAACCTGCCTCCATCAGGATCTCAGATGTCTGACAGCCCTGTGCAGCACCAAGATAAGGAATTAGGTGGTGAAATAGGATGGTTCAGTTCTTGTTGCTACACAAAACTTCAATTTGAACCATTATCAATGCATGAAAATACTTTTAAAAGAACTAAGGAAACCAGCTGAGAGATTATAGCACCTGGTTACAGTCCATAAATAAGATACATTGAAGTTAGGAAGGACAGTTTCACATTCCCCGTAT